ACCCTGGGCATATCCCATCTGTAAAATGGTATTAATATTTTCCCCCTCATGGATTTTTAACAATAAAATGAGACAAGGTGCCATGAGTTGGACATGCTTGAGTAGAGTATGTGGAACATAGTTTTCTTCAAAAGGGCTCAGTGTTGGCTATTCAGACACTGGAGGTTTTTGAAAGTCATTCAGCACACTAAGTTCAACATTAGTAATTTATCTAAAATGATGACATAGGTAAAAATGTAAAACTATTTTTCAAAATACAGCTTTAAATCAAAAGGTTTTAGTCATTCGAAGCTTTCCCAGTTACCAGGCAGTTGTGAGTTAAATGCAAACTGAAGGACCCTCTATTTGAAAGGAGTGTTGCCACACCTTCAGATTTACGAAAAGTGGGAGGAAATAAAAATTGCAAATGTAGTTCAAAGAAGATTAATTTTCTTATATCTATCTCAGAGAAAAGCGCCAAACAGGAATATGTGCTAACAGGTAATCACCTTGTAATCTAATCAGGAAAGATCTGGAGGTATTGTGAAGTCCTACAACCCTCATCTTGGGGCCCAAGGCAGTGCTGGATTAAATTTCAAAAAACAGATGCATAAGAAGAGAACACTGTTATTACTGCAAAGCCGTAGTTAGGTTCTAGAAGGAATACGTTTACATTATTAATCACCTCTGGACACATAGAATATTATTGCCTTGGAAAGGGGGCACAATATCACAGCAAAGCACCCATCCCACTAGATCTCAAGAAAATAAAATTTGGAGGAAAGGGTGAAAACAAACAGATCTTGGTCACACTTGGGAAAAATACCTAAATAATTAATGTTAAAATGAAGAAATCATAATGTGCTCATTACAAAAAGGGAAGACACACATATTAGTGAGCAAAGAATATAAAGACATGGCCCTTCTCTGCTAAGAGTATTCAAATTAGACAGGAAGATAAATGGAAATTCAATCTCCAGTTAAAAAATAAGTTTAGGCCAAGAGGACAATTCTTTTTCACAGAACACTAGTGATTCACATAGAAAACAATCCCCTAAGACAGGGAGAGAAAAGATTAGCAAAGCTCCTCAAGTAAGCCTGTGATTTAGCAATGTACTTTGTGTCCCTTCTTCTTCCAAAGGCAAATACTCCAGTCAGATTTAAAAGTGAGTTAGGTTTAAAAGTGAGACAGAGGTAAAACACTAATTGAAAACTCAGAAATAACCTTAAGATTTCCATTTAAAACTTCCTATACTTTTTCATATTGATTTTTTTAGACATAAATGTCTGGGTCTAATTCTAGGTGAGATTTCTACATAAAACCAACTCATTAGCCTTAAAGATCTATCTCATTATTTTCTCATCACATTTATGAGAAAATAATAATGAAAATTAACTGATCTGAAAAAACCCTCAGCATTGTGTTTCAATTCATTGTTACCCATCTTCAGCAGGCAGACATCCTTACAATAATATCAGCGGTTTTGAGCAAATGTAAAAACTTTAGCTGAACCTGAGTTGGGGCTTTTAAGAACAAATATCACTAAAACACTTGATTCATTAATTCTCATAAAATGTGAAGGTTAAAACATTTTCTGATATTTGTAATATTAGTGCCCCTTTTAAACAAATATAATTTAGTAGCCTATTGAAAAAATCTTATGCTATCTTCCATCTAGTTTAAGTTGCTGTGAAATATTTTTGTATTTCTAAGACACTTATTGCCTTATTGCCCAATATTGAGATAGACCTCCTATTTACTTCACAAGTGGTTGTTAAATTACCTCTCAGATCTTTCACAGTTTGCAAAGTATTTCCCCCTTTGCTTTGGTCCTTGTGTTAACCCTATGGAGATGGTATATTTATTTCCCATATTACAGATGAGGAAGCTGAAGTTTAGAGGGAATGAAGAATATCATTCAGCAGAAAGTGAGCAAATGCTAAGTCAGAGCTCAAGTCCTGCTCATCTAACTAGAACTCATGCTTTCCCCATTACATGACGTTGGAGCCATCCGAAAGTAGTGATCAGGAAAGATTTGTAGTGGAATTATTGGAGAACTAAAGATGAGCTATAAGACACTGAGGAAAAGTTTGCAAAATATCTCAAAAGCAATGGAAAAAAGCAAAATATGAGCAGGACAATTATCAACCAATGGTACCAATATTCCTATATAGTTTCCAAAATGTTTCATATGCCATATGTCTTTTGACTATTACTGTAACGCATTGAGACAATGCTGATATAATTAGTCCTGTCTTATAAATGAAAAAAAAAAATTGAGGTCTCTAGGCTTAAAATTGACAGCTGAAATTGGAATTTGAGTCTTCTATTCCTAGTTCCTAGTTTACTTCCACGTTCAGAGTGGTTTTCAAATATAGCCTCCGGCCTCGATACCTGAGTGTTGCTGATGTCTGCAGAGCAATCTTAAAGTCTATAAGGCCTTGTTCATAGCCTCTTACCGTGTAAGCTCTTACTCATTTCTTATTGAGAAAAACTGATTTAGCAAGTCTTCAAATTTGTTGATGCTGTTCTTGTTATTACAAAGTTCTTTATCCACTGAAATTTGAATTTATGGACATAGTTAAAAGCAGTTTGTCTGCTGCTGCTGATCAATGTTTAGGAACCAATGCACCACACCCTCATAAACACAAACAGTAGGAAAAGGCTTAAATTAATCCCTTTCTGCTATGTTCCTCCTCCATGTTTCGCGGAACCTCTGTGTTGGTAACCTCACAGCCCTCCCAAAGCTCCTCACCTAAGGCTAACAGTTCTCAAAGTTGATTTACTCAGTTATTGCCAGGAATGAGCAATAATGGTTCTAGGAAAACGATGGTGGGATGGTTTGAGAACCCCCTATATTAGCTAGCACTGGAAAGGCACAGGCAATGCCAAGTTATCCAATAGACACACATTTGCAACAGAAAACCTAAAGAGAAGCTGTTTTTTCTATATATTTGAGTCCTGTGGTTTTTAGTTTAATGTTGAATCCATGTTGAAGTGCATTTAGAAGGGAGATACCAAAACTGCTTCTGTGCTTGAGCTTCCAGAGGCCTTACTAGTAACCTTGCCTTGGCTGAGGACATGAGGCACTGTTCTTAGTTATGTCACAGGGGGGAAATTGGGAGTTGTCTGCATGTATTTAATGCTTCTTTCAGCTGTTGTTAGGAAAGCAGCCCTCAAATTATTCTCTCCCCATAGGTGGTTAAAAATAGTCAGGGAGGAGAGAGGGATAGAGTTGTACTTTGCAGGACATAAAAAATGCACATGCTGCTAAATTGTGCAAGCCACGGGGAAGGAACACTTCTCACAGGTGTTCCACTCCGCGGAGGTTACTCATTTGCCTCCAAGTGCAATCCAAGGTGTTGACTTGATGCTTTAAGGGCCCCTCTCAGGTACTCTGGACCTGGGGTATCTGGAGATGCCAATACTTATCTGAGCTCAGTAGCAACCACCCTGTTCCCCACTCTGAAGTGCAGGGCACTGGAAGCTGGGTGTTTTTCTCATGGAAGGCTTTCGCTTCTGGAATTTCCTGCCTGTCCGAGCCCGCCAGAACCCCACCTTACTGACCTTCAGGGACTCATGAAAGACTTCTTTTCAAAATAACCTTTACTGATGGCAAGAGACCTTAAGACTATAATTTTTATAAATGACAACTTAAGCAATCTATCATAGCTCGTGTTCTTCTGGGGGATGATTTAATTTTGGCGCTTGCTTCCTGTAGCGATTTCAAACAGGGTACCCTTTGGAGAATAAACATACCAACGAGTGTCTGCCCTTAGTAATGAGTGAGAATGCCTACCTGGGTGTGCAAATACTTAGAATTCTGAAAATATAAAAACGTTCAGATTACTGCTCCTTCTCACCTGGTAGCTCAGGTGTGCTGGTGCCTGAAACAGCCCTACACTTCAAGGTGAGTAATGAAACGGCTCTTCCCTGGAAGCTCTAGGATGGTGTGCGTGTGTGCTTGTCAGATCTCAAGCCCACCCCGGAAAGCAGCCATTGGCTCTGGCTGGACGCTAAAATATTTACCCTGGACGATTATGCCAAGACATTAACAGCTGCTGGATTAATTATTGATGGAGTTAGTGTCAATCATCTCAGAAGAAAACCAAAGAATAATATTTTAAAGTCATCTGGTCAAAAAAAAAAAAAAGTCTCTGCTAACACAGCTCTCTTGTCCTTGATTACTCTTGCACTTCTCCAGCCAAAGAAGTAATCTCAGAAAACCGCTCTTCTAAAATTATTTTTCCTGTTCCCTTCAATGTTTTCTTTCCAAGCGCTCTCCCTTTCAGAACTCAGCACCTGGGTACGTCTTGTGCTGTTTTCAGAAGATGCCCTACATCAGGGTAACCGATGACATGTTTTCGTTTTGAAAACTTCAATAAACACGGAAAAGAAAACCCGGAGGAGCCGGAGCCCCCCCACCCAGGAGTCCTTCGGAGCCTCAGCGAGGCTGCGATGCCTTCCGCGCTGCGGGCCTCCCTGGCTGCGCCAAAAACGTCCAGGCGATTCCGTGTGCTCCTCCAGCCCGGAGCCCGTTAAAGAGGAAAAACAAATCGCGGGTCTGAGGATCTCCCGGGAGGGAGTTGCACTCTGGCTTGACTAACATGTGAAAGGTCCGCCCCTCCGCGCCGCCTGGCATCCCGGTGTGGAGACCTCTGCGGTTGCCAAGAATTTTATCAGAGACCGAGTCCCGAGGCCGGCGCCCGCGAGGACCCGGGTCGGGACGAGCCCGGGCGCCCGGCTGTGCGCGCGCCTGCAAAGGCGGGATTTGGAGGCGGCGAGGCTGCGGGAGGCGCTGCAGTGTCCGCGAGCCCCCGAGCGGTCCCGCCTCGCTCGCGGGAGCGGGTGAGCCTCCGAGTCCCTGCCCGATACACCGGCGCCAGCTTGGGCGCGCGGGAGCGGCGTTGGCGAGTGTCGCCCCGGGGTCCTCCGGGGCCGGGCGGAGCGCCACCCCCCGCCGGGCGCGCCCGCCGCTGCGGCTCACGCCCCTCACCTGGGCGAGGCCGGGCGCGCAGGCGCTCAGCGCGGGGGCCGCGGTGGTGGGGCGCCTCTGCCCGGCGCCCGCCAGAGTTGGACTGTTCGGGACCGCGCCGGGCCGAGCTGTCGCCCGTGCTGTCGCCGCCACCGCCCCGGCGGCCGCAGATCGCGGGGAAGCGCCTGCGAGGAGCCCCGTAGCCGCCCCGGCGGGACCGCCGCCGCCGCCAGCGCGAGCAACAGCTTCCCGGCGGGGCAGCCGCTGCCCCCGGCGCCAGCGGCCCGCGCTCCGAGGTAAGCTCCGGGCGTCCGGCTCAGCCCAGCCCGGCGCCTCGCGCCCGCCCGCCCGCCCGCCCCGGCTGAGCCCGCACCTGGGCGCCGCCCCGGGGCATGGCCCGCAGCCCCCCTCGCGGCGGAGTTCCCACTTCGTCCGCGGTCCCACTTGTGGAGGGGGATGCCCAGCTGCCGCCCGCCAGGGCTGCGGGCTGAGAGGTTCCTGCGAGCCCCTGGAGTTGGGAGTGGGTCCTGGAAGCCAGAGGAGTGGAGGCACCCCCCGTGTGGGCTCCCAGGCGCTGGTCCCTGCGCACGGAGGGGAGGATGGAGCAGGGAAGAGGACAAGGAGAGTGCCCTTCTGTGGTTAGCCGCAGTGCCTCCGCCGCCCGGGCTGGGAAGTTTGGGGCTGGCATCTCTCTCTTCATTCTAAGGGGATAAATGGGTATTGGGGGGAAGGAGGTGTTGGAGGGAGATAGCAGTCGAAGAAGCTTGGGGGTCCCGAGAGAGTTCTGCAGCTGATTGAAGGTGAAACGGGGGGTGAGAGTGGGGGGCTGAGAGGCAGAAACAAGGTCCCAAAGTTTGCAGCTTGCTGGGATCCCTGAGGGGGGTCCGGGCTACCGAGCGCTGGGTGAAGGTGCCCGCGCAGAATGGGAGGACACGGTGGGGCTGCGGAAGGGACCAGGAGAAGGGGAGGGAGGACCATCTGTTTCGACACTGTTGTTTGCGGGGGCCGCTGGGGAGAGCTGGCAGGACCACGCTTTCCGGAATGCGTTCCCAGGCTCTGGAGGACAAACATTTTTTTATGGTGAACCTGAATGGGGAGTGTTAGGATTCTTCAAGGAAAATAAATTGCCACCAAGCCCTCCGCCCCCGTGGGTACGAAAGAAACAGAGTTTTGGAATGCTCTCTAGTTCATGGCTTAGCCAGTGTCGTTTTCATGCAGAGGTGTGGTTTGCAGGTCCTTTTGGTTTTGCTTTGCTCGGGAGCACCACACCAGGGTGAATGCAAACTTTGTTAAGATGTAGCAAAAGATGCTCAGAAAGAAGAAATGAAACATTTGCTTTATGGAGTCCAGTCTGAAGCTTGGAAACTGGCAGCTTCAGAACAATGCATGAAGCAGTCGGAAATGCACTTATCAAATTAAAAAGAAGGCTTTTCATAAAGTCAATAAGCTACATCTTAGATAAAGGTCAAGGTTTTGGCTTGAAAGAATTTCCTGGGCCTGGTTTCACCGCTTTTCACAGTCCTTTCTTCTTATTTTGATGCCATATGTGCAGTGAGTAGGCACCACCCCTGTCCTCTATTAGATAAATGCCCTGAGAATGCAAACACTGCATTGCAAGTTCTGTTGTTGCTTGAGGGTTTTAAGGTGGAAAATGCTTATTTGGTCAAAGTGTGGGTCGTAGCTCAGATTCTATATTCCCATAAATCAAGTATTTGTGGATTTATAATTTACGTTCCTACTCATTTCCAAAAGTGATTGGAGGAAGCTTGGAATGAAAGCCACAAATCAAAGAGCTATTCTTGTAGCTCTCCTTGACCTCTCTAGCATTTGTAGTAAAATTCTTTTGAGAAGGTGAATCCTCCTAACAAAGGAAAACGTACTGTCCTCTCTGGAATCATCCTAGTGATATAAATATTTTTCAGTATCATTCCTTATATAATTTGTTTGCATTCTATTATTTTACATTACCTAAGTAATAATCTTTTTATAGATTATTACCACTAAATAGCAGCTATAGGAGTAAAAATTTGAATTTTACAGCACTTGAGCAATAAAGAGATTCCCAGAGCAAAAATAGAACTGTGAACTTAATGTATTCTTCTTTTTTAAAATTTTCAATTATTTATTTTTTTTTAAAAAACATTCAATCTCTTAAGCATCTTCCCCATCACATAGTTAATTAATTATTTTTTTATTTTTTTATTAAATGTATTGGGGTGACATTGTTTAATAGGATCACATAGGTTCCAAGTGTACATTTCTATGATACAAGATCTGCATATTGCACCACCCAATGTATCCTTGAACTGAGGTAGAAAGGAAAGCAAGAGTGGTGTCTCCTCTACAGTCAAACCAGAGAAGGAACTGTCATTAGTACTTGCCACCCAAATATAGCCAATTAGTAAGACCCAAGAGCAGTTGGAGGAAACCTGTACGAAGTGTATTATAAGAGGATCTATCAAAGTATATCAAGTGTTCTCAGAATCTTTTTACTTAGGCTAGTGACCTGGCCCAGACAGAAAATAAAAATCCTGCAAAACAAACACAATTCTCAAAGAGGAGATGTCTTAATGGAACAATGCTGTGTGGAGTTTCTCTGATTAAATCCTTGAACTGCCCTCCCCCCACCCTTTAGAATTTTTTCTGCCAGCTGAATTTGAAAATATTAGCACTTGATTTCTAGCAACAATATTAAAAACACAAGCAATTGTTTTGCTTCTCATAGGTGTGACTTATTTGCGAACACCTGTAACAGAAGAAAAGAGTAAAATTGATTGTCTCCTGTTTCTATAAGATCCTATGTCTTCAAAGATTTAAAGAGCAATGATAGTTTGTCCTGAGTTCCCACTGCTTTTCTTTTGCTTCGAGGACTTTATTGTGACATCCCCCCCCCCCCCCCCCCCGGCCCAACCCACCATTTCACTATGTCTATTTTGTCACCTCCCCTGCTCCTGTCTCTGTTCCCCATGTGTCTCAATATGGTCTTTTTAGCCAGGCTTTTCTTTTTCATTTTTCTTAATACTGTATTGTTTTATAGATGATCTCCTTTTTGCTTTTGGTTCTGTGGTGTCCTTTTATTAGTGCCAGATTGTTTTCCTAAAGTAACCTCCTTATCTCTACTCTCCCTCCTAAATTTCATGTTGACATTTTGAACTACCTACGAGATGGCTTTTATATTACTCTCAGATGCTTCAAATTTAACAGATCTAAACTCTAACCAACATCTTTCTCCTTCCATGGACAGGGATGACTGTTAGTTTCTGTATTTCTCCCTGTCACTCAGAGCCTTCCCAATTTCTTTGCTTTCCACATACAATACACAGGTAATGCCCAGAGACTCCATTTCCATGATGCTTCATGATGCTGTTCTTCCCTTGGTGATGACTTTGTTCAGACTCTTCTTATCTCTTCTTAGGGACTACCATGATGTCTTCCTGACTAGTTTCACATCTCCAGTCTCTCTCATTTCCAGTCCATTTACACTTGGTTTGCAGAATAAGCTTCTTAAAGCAGAGCTAACTTCAGTCACTGTCTAATGAACATTTCCCAGTGCCCAACCAAATGCCATACAAACGTCTCCTCTGATGTTTAAGACCCTTTGCAGTCCAGACCCACAGTAGCTCCACATTTTTTACTCTGATCTCATAGATTCATTAACTCATTTGTTAATTTATTCGATGGATATTTGAGTGCCTGCTACATGCCAGGCACAGCTATAGGTAATCATTTTAGAAGTACCTCGGTACTTGCACAGTGACATGTTTCAAATTTTACTTGTCAATGGTGGAATCCACTGTTAAAATATAATCTTATATGCCCAGCCAGCATGGCTTAGTGGTTGAGCATTGACCTGTGTACTAGGAGGTCACATGCCCAGGTTGTGGGCTCAATTCCCAGTGTGAGGTTGTGCAGGAGGCAGCCAATCAATGATTCTCTCTCATCATTGATGTTTTCATCTCTCCTGCCCTCTCCCTTCCTTTCTGAAATCAATAAAAAATTAAAAAAAAATCTTGTGTGGTTGAAATGGGGCCCCAGCAATCTCATGAGCCTCCCCTCCCTACCCTTTATGGATGATTAGTTAGAGGAACCTATTAGCAGTCTCTGAGGCATCATCACAGACTCCTGAGTCTGCTTGAAACAACTCAAAAAACACTGCTCTAGGCTGAAGGCAATGTTCCTTCAACACCCAGCAGGCCTGTGAGTTCTGCATCTTTGCTTATGCTGTTCCCTTGGCCTGAAACAGGGCCTCCCACTTTCCCATAACCATTTCTGCCTGTCAGAGAGTCAGTGCAATTGCTGTACACTTCCTGATCTCATTTTGAATTCAGTTTTTGCCCCTCCAAACCATTTTGCTTGACTTCCTCTTAGAGCACATCATGGTCTTCCTCATATATATGTGCTCTCTGCGTTCTCCCCTAAAAGCAACATGCCAACCACACCTGACCTCAAGCATCTATTTCCCAAAATACCCAGGTCTGGGCCTAGCATATCGTGGGGCACTAACAAATAACTTAATTAGATTTACTTCTACTTAGTTACCTAGTTCCCATCTCTGCCTGTAATAGCTCTTTGTTTTAATTCCTCAATTTGGTTCGTATAGTAGAGCCAGGTCTTCTTAAAATTGTTTATGCATCTTAATCACGAGGGAATCTTATTTAAATGCAGATCTTGATTCAGAAGGTTAGGGTTGAAGCACCCAGATACTGCATTTCTAACAAGTTTCTGGGTGATGCTGGCATAGCTGATCCAAGAACTCCACTTTGAGTGGCAATGGTAGCAGATGCTACTTCACAGGTTTGGGAGTTTCTGGCAGTCCCTACCTCTTTGTCTGGTGATTTTTCTACTGTTAGTGTTTGCTTTGATATTACTTTCTATTTTGAAAGTACTTTAGGCTTCAGCATGCTTCCCAAGGCTGAGTGGAAGGTGTGATTCTCTTGTATTTTCCCCTTGTTTTGCTGATACAGCATTGCAATGGCCAGTTCTCTCTATTGTTCTGGTCACTTCTATTGCTTTATTATATATCCCTTCTCTTTTACCCATCAGTCAATTTCAGATTGTGGCTGTTCTCCTTTCTCATCCTGTTATGACCTTTTCTTTCTTTTGCTCTCTCTGGTTCTTGACATTCTCTTCAGATGCTGTGGCTGACTCCTTGCCCCAACTGTTTGCCTACAGCTTCCAAAATTTTTCTGTGAAAGGAGCAGTGAAATAGGGCTCAGGAGACTCCAGCTCCCATTGTGCCTTTACTGCTGCTGGGGGACACTGGGCAAAGCTGCTTCTTCCCTGGGCTCCTCACTGT